GGTTTCTTCTAATAAAATCAGAGCCTTTCTTCGTTGATTTCAGCGAAGCAAAGTTTAGCTAAAAAAAACGAGACAGTCTTTGTCTGCTCCTATCATAAATCAATAGCTTTAATGGAATCAAAACATTCTCAGAAACACCTTTCAATTCAGCAGCAGTCTGCAGTTTTTTTAAACTGAAATTGACATTGAACTTGAACTGAATCGATTTCTTTTTGTGTGAGTGTACACACAAACTTGTTATTGTTATTTAAAGTAGACTTTTCTGTACTTCTATTCTCGTTTATTTTCATGAATTATGAATTCTTATCTCAATCATTTGCTTTTTTATACTTTAATTTATTCAAATGTGACTGTCCAGAGGAAATGGTTAAAATTTTCAGTAGAGCAGTTGGAGTCAAGTTGGGTTGAAATTAGATTTTGAGACTTGAGCGGCAAACTCTCTTTGGTGTCATAAAATATAAGTTGTGAGCGACTCAGTTCTTCTTCGTAATGTGTGAAGGTGTTAAGTTATCTTATTATCTGGCAGTATTGTACTCTCAACATGAATGAATAGAATTTAAAGTAGTTTTTTGCTAAAATACACTTTGTCGACTGCAAACTTGGAACCACCTTGCTTCTGTTTTGGTTTAGCATTATAGAATATTTTTTGTGCCACAATTTTATAATACATTTCGTCATGTTATGATATCAAAAACTCAATTTTGAATTTTTGCGGATCAAGATCCCTTTCCTGTGGATGGTCTTAAAGAGGTTTGTGCAAAACTGCAGCCTGATGGTTAAAATTTATTTCGGCACGACAAGAATCGAAAATCGATATATTCCACGGCACAGATAGGGCTATGTCTTGTCTTATTGTGCAGACATAGCCAGTCAAAGTTTCAACAATCCGGCTGCAGGCCGGCAGGATTGCAACACAGGTTTTGTTTTGGAGTCGGAGCTGAATCGTAATTCCGTAAACACAAGATGAGTTGTTGGTTATCACTGCCAGTAATGCAAGTTTTAATTTTTTTATTTGATTTAAATAGTTACAGCTCGAATTCGAGTCTTCTTCGTTACGAAAGTAATGTTACCTCGAAGTTGGTAAATTTTGATTAAACTGAAAGTAAGCCAGCAGTATATCGCGATGGACTCTTGGTAATCAATCTTCAAATTTTTATTTTGGCCATGCTTAGAAATAGAATGAAAAAATTCTGATAGATACAACTCAATTCTCATTGGTTTTGCTATTACTGCTATTCGGTTCTTTCCACAATCCAATGTTGGTTTCACACAGGAGATTTGGAAGTATGATGGTTGAGCTTCCATAAAGGCGATCGGATATAACTTGCTTTCAGGCGCTACTTTGCCTCATCAGTTTGTTGCACACTTCCTTCATCGGCTGTTATGTCCCCCTCCCTCAGTGAAAATTCTAAAAAATTGAAAGTTTCTGTCTTTCTTTGTGCTTTCCACTGTACATAATATCATCCTATTGAATAGTCAGTGTGTAAACTAATCTTGCAAAACATAGACGTTTGATCTATAATTGACAGACTTTAAAGCTGTACCTACGTTGTATATGCGTGGTCCTAAGAAGCTGCGTGTTTTCTGTTTTTTGACAAACTATTGCGGTTATTTCAGTTGTCTTAAACAGAGTATAAACAGCAAATTATTATTACATCTCTGTCAACCATAGCAAATCTCTAAGTTAATCATATTTTAAATGAAAACTTTCTCCGTCCGAAAAGTAATTGCTACCTACTGGTACAATTGTTAAATTATTGTTAAATAGTGGGCATTGTCTCGGGAATGCCATAGTTGTAGAAATTTCATTGCACTAATCAAGACTTATTCTGTGATAACTGATGGCATGAAACATTTTAGTGGCCCTCATTTGTGAACTTCGGTGAGTAATTCAACTTAATTCTATAATGCATGACGAAACGGCAAATAGTTGCTGATTATCAATGATTAAAGGCTTACAGATTACCATGTTAATTCTTGTGGTGGTCTCCAATGTTTCACGGCGTTCCAATGCATGTCCTTTGCTATTCCGTGACACTTTCTTGGAATTCCATGTAGCCACCACGGAATCTCCTGCTGCCACCATGGAATCCCATGCAGTCACCACGGAAACCCAAGGAGTCACCATGGAGTTCCGTGTCTTCACTATGGAATTCTATGAGAAACAGCACGGAATTCCATGAAAAATTTTTAGCAGGAAAGCATTACCTATCATCTCCGATAAAGTTTTCTCAAGTAATCACTCTAGTTATGCTGCAACATCGATTTAAAGTCAAGAACCAGGCACGAGGGACACGCAAATTTGGGACAAATGTAAGTGGAGAGTAGCATGTAATAGTCAACAATAGTGAGGAAAATGAGAAAAAAATTTGATCTGACCATGTTTCTTAGATTACGACGATTAAGACAGCTGGGGACACCAGATTAGACGCTTATTTGAATTCACCCAGGTGCTGAGATATGTCGCATGAGAGCGCAAAGCACTCCGCTCCGGAGCTTCAGTAAGAGTGCGTGACATTGCATCCACCCCTACATAACATCCTAATGTAACCTAATCTCACCTAACCTAACCGAACGACTAGGTGGATGCATCGCAGGTGGATGCAACGTCCTCAGCCCCTTAAGTAAGGCCACAAGTCTTGCCCACCTCTCTCCCTCACACTAGCGCTATATACGGTCTCTTCTCCCCTTTAGGCCTACCACTCCCAGAATGAAAATGAAAAATTTAAAAAGAAAAAAATAAAATAATAGAATAGTGGAAATAATAGAATAACATAGACAACAGAAGAGAAATAAAATAAAGTATGTTAAAGAATAGAATGAATTTAACGAGTTAACTGAGGTCAAAAAAAGTATGATGAAGTATTAAAATGAATTACAGTAAAACATAAAACAAAGTAAAGGAATAAGAAGTAAATAATTTAAAAAAAATTAAGTGCTAGAAAAAATAAAATAGCGTGAAGAAAAAAATAGAGTCAGCAAGGAAATAAAACAAATTAAAATGATAAAATAAAATTAAAAAATATAGTAAAGTAAAAAGCAAAATCAATACACGGACAAATCCAGGCAGATTGAAAATATCCTGGTGGCCTGTTCAAATCGACCTTAAATACCAGTTTTGCGTCCCTTAAAACATCGTTTGGCATAGCTCAATCAGTAGGGTCTTCGGTTATAGTGTCAGGTAGGCCCCGGATTCAATCGCCAAGGTAGGTACAAAATTTCTAACTTTCTATATCGATTAAATTACATCCCAGAGGTCTCATTATTTTTATTTTTCATGGTTTCAAAAGTGATTTTCACAATTAACCCTTCTCCACCATTCCCTACCTGCGAACCCCTAAATTTGAGGCTCCCGCGAATCCGCCCGGCGTACAAAGCATTGAATGGTGACAAAAATCCCTCTTAAAATGAAAGTCGAAATTTTCCAAACATTATGTGGTGAACGTTAAGTGGTATACCTGGCAACACGATTGTCAGCGATAGTATCGATTTTTATCGATACCTATAGTGCAGTGCCCGCACAGGTGGTCGTTTTCAGCCAGTTCAGAGCTCTTGATTAGAAGCCGATTGCAGATGACAACAATGAAGAGCATTCTGATCAACAGGCCTCAGTGTCATTCTATGGCCTGGTCTCCACGAGCCGTTTCACGAGATTTGTCCCAGGAAAAAATCCCTCTTTCGAAGTTGGGAAAAATATTGAGTTAATCAATATTTTTCTCAGTACCAAGTATGGTACTTGTACCCCTAGGACCCACTGAGAGAAGAAGAAGAAGTGAAAAAGAATTGTGCGATATTTTATTCATTACTACATTGTTAATGTTTGTTTAGTTAAAATAATGTGTCTAATTGTCAATTGAGTGCAATTATTATTTTAATCCCGGTTAAATACTCGACTTCAAACAATTTATCTTCCCGCGAAAACTAGTCGCAGGACTGTATGAGCCCCGTCCCGTGGAGACGGTAACTGGGAAAAATCCCAGAAGTTTCATTCCTGCGATTCGAACTTGGGACAAATCCCATGAAAACGTCCCGTGGAGACAAGGCCTATCCTTCCTGGCAGCTTCATTTCTACTGGTAAGCACTTTTTATTTTTGATTTTTCCAATTTTTAAATCTTTTTTTTTTTTTTTTTTTTTTTTTTTTTGTGGCGAATTTTGCATTTTGAAATACTGCTCATTTTTAACCCTTGTTTCCACTTTCATGGAGTGGCAAAAAAAAGCACCGTCAAACACCGAACTTTCGTGCACGAGGATATACTCAGTAGCATGTGTACTTTCAGAAAATCAAGGGTTCATCTGCCCTATGTTGCCCGTTTGGACGGAAATCATGATTTTATAGGAAAATTTGGCCATTTTTCAGGTGTTTTAGGGCTTTTATTCAACTTTGATTCAGAGTTCACAAATTAACCTTCAATTGTCAAGACATTTGGCACTGACACAAATAGATAATACTAAAAATGGTGTGAGGAAATGGTAAAATTCATTTTTAAGTATCACATGATGCCAGCTTGCTCTAAAAAATAGCACATTTCTGTAATATTTGTATCCATGTATATGAGGACTTATTTGTAACAATAGCGGATGTGAAAAATTACCTTTCCGAAACACATTCAAAAAACTGATTTGGCATAGAGAAAATTTTGAGAAAATACTTGAGATGTGATCTTCAGGATCTGTACATTATGCCAGAGCCAAACATATTAAATTTTTGTGTGAACAGAACAGTTTTTTAAGTGTGTTTCGAAAAGGTAATTTTTCACATCCGCGATTGTTACAAATAAGTCCTCATATGTGTGCATATTACGAACTAATTCCGATTACATGAACCTAGTTTCCAAAAAATATTGATATATATTAAATGGCATGTAAAATAGGGGAAATTTGAAATTGAAGTCTCTCAGATAATGAATGAGAAAATTTTCCTGTGAATGGATACTTGTGCTCATTAACAGGTTTTAAATCCTAACAAAAATTGTTGGAAATCACCAGGCTCTTTCAAAAAGAATGATACACAATTCAAGGACTAGATCTCTAACACTTCTGAGATTCAGATAGGAAGACACAACTTCTAAGTACCGGAGATCTAAAATTCTTTGATTTAGCTGAGACATTGAAAAGCTGCGCAATATTCTTTGCAAGTCGCCATCTTCTCTCTGGATCAGGAACAGTACCTTCTCATGGATCAGCTTCTATGCTTCTGGACATAATTATTGATCCAGTCCAAATACTTTGCCACATCGGTGAACACAATGTAGTGTTTGGTGTCACATTTCCTCAGTCCTGAGTGCGCGACAGATATTGAGACGATCCCGCGCAGGTGCCAAGTGTTGCCCCTTGGAAACACCATACCTCCGCCACTATCTCCATTACAAACACTTGTTCCTGAAAAACAATTTGGAAAATATCTTTTTTATTTAGATCAAGAAAAGAGCTAATAAAAAATTGGTGACCTTGGTCTCTGTAACAAGGTTAACCGCTGAAATTTAATTACATTGGAATTCGACGTTGAAAAACCCGGTGAAACACCACCAGATTTTTTTCAGGAGTTCAACTTTTGAGGAAAAATGCCTCTCAGTACACCCTTATAATAGATAAAAATTTTTATAGAGCAGCCCGAGACACTGGTAACAGTGGAAAAGCAAGGGAGAAAAAACGGGAAACAAGGCTAAAATACTTACACAATAAAACAGCCTGATACGCTTCGACTAAAAATGACTCAGTTTTGAGTCGAAACGTCTCTGGCTGTTTTATTGTGTATTTTAGCCTTGTTTCCCGTTTTTTCCCCCTTGCTTTTTTACTAATACACTCTTTTCATGTGCCAAAAAGCAAAAAAAGCTAGAAAGGAGGAAGGTCGATTTTACATTAACCTTTATTTCAAGTGAAGTCCTTCGAATTGAAAAAGGAACGATTTGCAGGTTTAATTAGTAACTAAACAAATTTCAAGGTTTAACACCCAAATTTGTGACTTTTTACTTCAGAGAGAATTCCTGTCTGTCCAGCTTTCCTTCAAATATATTGAAAGCTTGTCATTCAGTTTTATTTACGATCAGCAAATTCAAAGAGAAAAAGCTTTTACATTAGTGGGACCGATAACTGGAAAACATCATGTGAATCGTGCACTTCTGGAAGATAGCATGATATTTTCAGGGATTCATCTCAACCAAAGTGACATTCGATTTAGACATAGGCCCCAAAAATCTGAGCCTCCAGGGGGGGAGGGGGCAGGGGGCTCTCAAATTTTGAATTTTAAATAACTTCTGAACAGTCAATGTTAGCGTAATTTTTTTACATCAGGACAGGGCGATGGGAAATAATGTTAGGAACCAAATTGGTTCTTTGAAATTTTCTGTGGGATTGATATGTAAAGCGCAAAACGGGAAAAACCATCGGGGGACGGGGAGCCGGCTGTTCTGAGGCAATTCTGCGCGCTGCGCTGACTGCCCCGGGACGCGCGCGGCGGTGCAGTACGATATTACCGACACAACTGCTTGTCTTTGTTTAATCTCAACGATGTGCAGTTTTAAAAATAATTATGAATATACTGCCTAAATTTGGCACCGGCAAAAATGTTGAGTTCATACCCATTCACATTTCGGCAAAGGAGTTTGGCACCTCAAAATCAACATCACTCACATTTTTTCATTCACCGACTGGGTGTGATAACACTACCTCCTTTGCCGGATATAGTAAAAAGTCTACCTAGCAAACATATGAAAAAACCCAGAGTTTACTGATACTTTTCAAAAACTATCCGGAATGCCAAAAGATCCCTCCAGCGGGTAGAACAATTTGTAGTCCTCTTTTACAACAAATCCTTGTTCCAAACATCCGTTTACGAAACCCGTGAAGAGCTATTTGCCAAAAGAAAGATAGCTTTTGATTGGCTTCCGCCAACACATGCTGCTCTTTATCGACACATTCTAAGGAGGACCTACCATGCCCGTCACTATTGGGGTCAGTGTTTGGTCCGAGAGCCGATTTTTCCGGACCCACTATCATGAAGTTTGAAGAAAACATGTGATGACGTGAAATTGGAGCCATTATGGTCAGTTAATCCAGAGGCGTCCATTGCCTGCAGAGAACTTTTAAGCTGTGGTTGCAAAAGTCGCGACACAAATCGATGCAAATAGAAAACGTCTTTGAAGAGTTTGAAGTGCACATTGCTATGCAATTGCAGCAATTGCCAGAATGGCATTGAACATGGGAGCAACGGCACAATCATAGAGGATTATGATGAGCCACAGATTAATGAAGACGTTTGATCTGAGTCCATTCACATTAACCATTCGTGGATTATTAACATTTTTATTTTTATTATCTTATCTTATTCTATTTATTTTGTATTTTTTTTAAGTAAAGACTTGAAGAGTTCAATCGAAAAAATTGACACTTCTTAACCTTTGCAAACTATTATGTAATCGTAATTTTTCCGGGATCATAGGTACTCTTGGTTATAAATCCAGCTAAAGTACTTCTGAGTTCATGGTAAAATTAAAAATTCTATTGAATTATTATTATCAACTACAAAAAAACAGTCATCAAACATGTTTAGCCAAATTTGATCAATATTGCCATCTTACAATTAAATTTCATATATTCAATTTTAGAAATCAATATATTGTGTCTCTAAAGAAGCAGAACTAATTTGCTTAAGATACAACTTGCATGCCAGAAAAACACCTGTTCCAAAAATTTAAATACGCTAATCCTTGACTATTGGGAAAATTGAAATGCATCTCTCTGATTTTTCAAGTGCGTGCTACAAGTAAAACAAAAACTTGGCCAATTTTTCGTCAACAATATCAGCCAATGTTGAAACCTCAGGCAATACTGGTGCCCAAATGATTTAAGGGTGAAGTACCTAGATTAGCACGTCTGATCCCCCCCACCCACCCCACTTTATGGAGGCAATGCTAGACGCAGGGGGCAACCCCGCACTGCTAAATGGACCATGTGAAGCAAAAAGGAACCAAGCCACATCACCTATTGCCAAATTTGACTGGGCAATTTAATTTTATACCTGGAAACGGTTGTGCGGTTTTGTGCAAATCTCAATGAATTTTCTGCATAGCACGAAGCAAATTCCGAAAAAAAAGAAAACGAACACTGTAAAATCATTTATTCAGGTCATCATGGTCTACGAAGAAGATTCATGATTTTTAAACCCCCTACCCCCTTCCTAGACAACTGCGTGTCAGATATTATTCTGTTGGATTGATGTTTGATACAGTTATAACGTATGCTTTAATAAACCTCAACAAATCGATACATAACAAAACAATCCGGAGCTCAAGCACTTGACTCCTTCTGTTGCCATGCGTTCGTTTGTACATACACGTTACATCCAAAAGTTAGGCGATATTTTAGGGGTATTTAGGTAGTACGATATGGATTCATATTTATTTTTAAAACTGTGCATCGCTGAGATTAAACAAAGACAAGCAGTTGTTTTGTTGGTAACACCGTAGGGTAGGATGGGGTCAGTCCGCCAGGGTGGGTCAGTCCGCCAGTCGACCGTAGCGCCCCTAGCGGTGGTCGAATTGGGAAATTCAAAGCATGGGAGTAAGCAGTTGGAAGTGCTCGTCTACTATATGTTGTTCCAGGCATGATTCATTTGTTTACAACTAACCTACAGGCGCAAGTGTTAAAATTGCTCCCGATCGTAACTTTTTTCTTTTTTGGAACTTTTCGTCTGGACTTTGGTGGTTTGGTGATCGAAATTTGGGAAGTACATCATCGTAAACTACTCACTCAAGGCTATTGATTCCGTTTTTGATCTTTGAAATATCTTTACTTTTGTCATGTCAGGTAACAATTTTGTGCAGCGAAGCCGGGATGGGGTCATTCCGCCAGTGACGCCGAGGGTCATTCTGCTACTGGCTAAGTGACCCCTTTTTAGGTTTAGGTGCTGCTACACTGGCTAGTCCTTTATATGTATGTAGTTCAATTTCAAAACCACCGACTTTTTATTAATATTTTAACTTTTTTTTTAAAAAAAAAAAAATTCAAATCTTGAAATTTATTAGACCCTTAAAATTAACTTTTCGTTCTTATAGTTATAGACTTTTTTGTACTGACTGAAGTTCTGAGTTCAGATATGTTTGTTTTCCTTTATTTTTCTTAATTAAATTGTTTTTTCCAGCACTTCTCATGTCTTCATTTGCTACTGGCGGACTGACCCTAAGAATGTGGCGGACTGACCCTACTCGTGGGGTCACTCCGCCACTTTCTTTTTTAAAAAAAAAAAGTTCAAAAAAGGGGGGGAAAATGCACCTAAAGAATCCAATTTTTTTTTGTGCATAGTCAAAGGTCCAAAGATCACTCCTAGCATTCAAACAAGTTCATCCATCAATTAGGGAACTCAGGAAAAATCTTGGGGCAAAAAAGTGGCGGACTGACCCCATCCTACCCTACTGCACCGCCGCGCGCACCCCGGAGCTGGCAGCGCGACGCACGGATATACCTTAGAACGGCCGGCTTCCTGTCCCCCGATGGTTAATCCCGTTCTGCGCCTTAAATATTTATCCCACAGAAAATTTCATAAGAACCAATTTTGTTCCTGATAAAATTTCCTATCGTCCTGATGTCAAAAAATATGGTAACATTGACTGTTCAGAAGTCATTTAAAATTCAAAATTTGGGAGCCCCCTGCCCCCCCCCCCCGGGGGNGGGGGGGGGGCTCAGATTTTTGAAGTCTATGTCTAAATCGAAAGTCTCTTCGGAAAATTTCAAGCTTCCTTCCAGAAATGCACGATTCTTATGACATTTTCCAGTTATTGGCCCCACTACATAGGCATATCAAAAAATTGAATGACAAGCATTTTCTAAAATGCATAATATCTAGAGGATGAGGGAAAGTATTAAGAGAACCGACTGTTTTCGATGAAAAAAGAATTGCATAGATTTGTTGGAAAAATATCTAGAAACCATAACTCTTGGGGTAGGTCCAATTCATCAAGACATCCGGCTGAGTTAATTAATCATGGATTAATCGGGATTCATGAAAAAAAAATGTAGGTACTTCGGCAAAAATTCATTTAAGAAAACTTACCATTGCGAAAACCAGCACAAAATGTTTTATTCGATGTGAATTGGGAAAAGAAAGGTCGATTGCTATAGATACAAGTTTCTTGCGAGACCACAGGCATTTTCGCCATTTTCAACTCCTCTGATGCCTTATCATGTTCATCATAGCCCCATCCAATAACCTAGATGAAAAAGATAAGCCAGTCAAAATACTTTAATAATACACTTTGACATTTGGCAGTTCTTGTACATGAAAAGAGAGGAACGACTATAAATATGAAAAACAAGCAATGATATTATAACTACTGAAGCATACAACATTTATTAAATGGAAATTTCATTAAAAGATGAAGACCAAATAAATATTGAATTGCATTGATATATGTTACCATGAAATAACAGAGGCTCTCATCAAAATCATTATCATTAATATTAAAATGGATGGATTCCATGCCATCTTTTTCTGTACCTTGATTTCCTAGAGTCGGGGCGAGACAGTGGGGAAGGTGTCTGTTCAAAGCAGCTTGCTTTTTCCCGGCACTGTACCCTTCCCCTACAATTCCACCACTCGACCCTTTCTCCACTTCCATTCTCTGATCATTATGCGCCACCGCACCATACGGCTGTTTGCTTACTCTGCTCGACACTTATTTGCTCACTCACTGGCATAGAATAGTATGTTTCGACTTCACATTTGGATTCTACACAAAAAAATTGACGAACAAGTAGTTCTTATTTTTTCCTGTGGAATCTAAATCTGACGTCAAAACAAACCCTTCTTTTGTGAAAATCACGAGAAACTAGGGAGCATACTGTCAAAAAACTACCTAGAGAGGGTGTTGGGAGACTGAAAACACTATCATTGGATTGTGTGGGGTCAGTTTACTCAGATAGATGCAACCCTAAAACTTAGTTTTGAGCCATTCTCAAAGTATGAATAGAGCACAGATGCTTTTGATCATCCTATACATACCAAATATCTTCATATTTACAGTTTCAAATTTTACAACAACAATTTTCAATTCACTCACCGTTCCCTCTTTATCAATGACCGAGGACAGCTCAGACACTCTGGGGTCCCACATACAAACTGGCCGGACAAAACTTGTGTATTCAATGTTAGATGTCATTTTCAAGAGAGCAATATCACCTAAATAATTGGAGCTGTTATACGTTGTAAACGGAACAATTTCTAGGACCTGAAAATGATGAAAAGAGATGAGAGATCATAAGAAAAGTTACATTTTTACTATGAATTGATGTGGTTGTTGCATGGGTGAGGGATTTGAGAATAAAATTACAGAGCCATACAACTTTTCGCGACAATAACGATGGCAACGTCAAAACAATAAAAAATCGAGTCCTAAAGCCCGAGAAAGCTCGCTGAAGTTCCATCAAATTCAAGTTGGAAATGAACAATTTTCATTGGTTGCTGTGCAGTCGGTCAAACTACACGTCACACAGCATGGGAGTCTCTCCTCACCGCCATTATCCACATCCACATCATGACCGTGCGTTTATCTAGTGGAGGTTAGGTTAGGTTAGGTTAAGCTCATCTCGAGCTCTGATTGGCTTCAATGATGAGCGGACGCTGCCGGAAGAACCCGAGCAGGGACGGTTGCTGTTTGCTGCGCACCGCCTTACGCTGGCGAATAGTCACACTTTTGCGGCAATTATTCCAAACACTTGAAATGCTTAATACATGCAACATCCAAGAAGTAGTTTGGTATGATCACTTGATTATCGGAAATTATTTTTAAAGTTGCAAACACCGCACTCTCCTCCCCCCCCCCTTCACAATTTTTGAACAACTTGCGCACGAAATTGACTGCAACAAGTAAATGATGTCGAAACCGCCCTGACTAATACTATTAAAAATGTGTATAGGAAAGGTAACAAGTAACTCATTGCTGTAATACAATTTTTTAAAACTATAAATTGCATAGCCATTGGAAATGAGCCACTTTTTAAATTTTAACTCGAAGTCCTTTCTTATTCGATATGCACTTGCTCCCATTTCCTATTAAAGAAGGGAAAAAATCGATTATGCACTTCTGCAATAACAAACTTTTTATGTCTGTCACTAAAATTCTTGTGTTTGCTTTCAAAAAACTTCACCGCGTTATTTCCTGCAAGTAAAGCATTTCATAAATCCGCGTGATTAATCGTAAACATTGAGCTTCTTTTAAAGGTAAATCACCGACTAAATGCCCGGTCTCTTGGCCCATGACATGACCATCACTTGGGGAAGTCATTGTTTTAAAAGGATTCTGTATCGTGTCCATGTTCCTTAGGTTGGGCCAAAAATGAGATAAAATGTCATTGCTGAAAGAGTTGTATCAGAGCGACGCGATGTGCTGTGGTGCGATGCACCGAATGTCTCATCTCCCAACTCGCACCTACACTCACTAAAACCTCTCTAGCGCTCAAACCTGCGACCATCTGCAAAATCTCTTTTCACTATTTACTCTTTAGACTATTACCTAGGAGCCTATATAAGTCTCAAAGTGGAGCTCGGTGGAGTCTCTTTTTTAGATAAAGCCTAAAACAAAAAAGAATCGCATTTATCTCCACCTCGATTTAAGTGTCAATATTGGCACAAAGAAGAGGTTTTTATGAGCGTGTTAATATAATATTTTGTAGCTTAGACTACGCACTTACAGAGTATAATGCTAGTTTTTCGGGAAAAAATCTTGCCATTGACGTACATGCGATGACTACTTAAGCACCAAAAGTACCTATTTTCTTCGGTGCCTGACAAGGGTCTGTTTGAAAATCAATGAGGGAGAACTTAATAAAATGTATGCTACAACTTAATAGTCTGTAGCGCAAGCTAAAAAATCATCCAGATACTTTTGCCTTCTGGGTTGGAAAAAGAGAGGGTTATTCATATAGGCGAAAAATGTACCCAGCCCGGAATGTACGAAACTTTGTAGGCTGATAGTACTAGTTGAGAGAGGCTTATCCCTAGCTCCGTTTTTGCAGGAACCCCAGGGAAACAGCGTTGCCATTTTTTAAAGTCGTAACCTTCAAACATCCATAACTTTCGCA